ACAACAACAAAAAAAAACAACAAACAAACAAACAAACAAAAAAAAAAAAAAAACAAAGAAAAGAAAACTAAACAAAACAACAACAACAAACAAAAACACGAAGGAAAAAAGTATGGCGTTCTAGGAATTTGGTGACAAAAAGCAACAACTATCACTATATTTATCTTTAACCATGAGGAAGCATCGTATTGACCTTAGCTAGTTTATTAAAAAACATACTGGACTTAAAATGCTATTTCCGTCTTATTCCGTCTTAATTTCTTAATAAATGTCTGGTTGCTAGGCTATATGTTGTATCTAAACAAATTTTTTATCAGATATATACATATATTGGAGCCAGTGGTCAACATCGAATCAAGAAAACGTTAGTGGCATGATTGATGTAGTGTGCGCACAAGATGTATTTATTTACCGATGAATGATCTTGCGCGCATTTACATGCAACATTAAGCAAAATACTCTAATAAATGGTTGACATCGACTAATATCTAGGATATATAGTGGAACCATAAATACACAAGTCAACTGTTTTCAGTATCATTATATCGAATGATCGTCATTTCACTACCCAGCCGACAGATCGTGCGCACTTGATGTTGTCATCAAGCTATATGCCGCTGGCCATGTTGGCGCATTCCATCCTTAAACTATCTGTCTTATAAGCCGTTCATATGATACCCCGTTTAAATTGATATACTTTTTGTAATATATAATCCTTAGATAGAAAGCTACAGTAACAAGCTTAGAAAGGCTACCCCAAGTTAGTACGCCAAATGCAGCCACTACAATGTGTTGTTGAATATTGCATACCAAGGCCGTATTGCATTATGGGAGAGAAAGATCAGCAAAAGGTCACAAAACAAATTGTCCCAAACTTTGTTTCCAGGTTTCTCAGGCATATTTTTTGTGTGATGGCATTAGTTACATGAATGAAATACATTTTTGTTACATTTCAACATGCATTAAAATATTCACCAACCTTTTTCAAAATAGCTGTATATATTCATAACTTCTCTATATCTAATGCAGGGGAAATTCATTCTCTTTGGATCTCTGTTAGTTGTTCTAGCTTAGGATCTGGCACGGCTATTGATAAAACGTAACGCGAATTTTTTCAAATACACGCAACGCACTTCATCATTATTCCTAACAATTCGATACAACGAATCTCTTATGTCGAATAAATTTGCAATTTTAAAATTTACATGTTCCCGAGCAAAGTTATATCTGCGCACACGGGTAAATAACAGACGAAAAACGACAAACAAAAGTTAGGAAATACGAGACAAAGAAATAAGGAACTTTTCAAGAAGAGCACGACTGGCATGGCTATAGAACAGGGGAGTTAGGTAACGAATAAAGGCGGGAGATGTTAACCAAAAGTGAAAATAGAATAAAAGTCAGTAACAAAGCGATAGGTATCAAGACTCAAAAATTTCTATTGCATAAAAGTAGATATATCAATGCAAAAGAGGGTTAATTGACAAGAGTAAGACGTTTTGACGGGGAAGAGAAAATTTTCATTACATTTTGCTCAAAAAGCCTTGCTTTGGATGATTTCTCAAAAAATTGAAATTGCATTTCTCTTACTCGTGTATATTTCAAAAAACGACTTCTGTGTTTGTTTTCATTTTTTTGGCCATGGATTATGGAATTGGTTTCAGTAAAGAATTGAGAACAAAAGGATCGGATGACGACAATAAGAAACTTCTTTCTTAAAGATAAAACATTAAGANGACCTTATGTTTGTAAATAAAGTAGGTATGTACACAGCGGTATTTACGAAGTGAGAAAAGGGACAATAGTGAGTCAAAGTAATGATGAATCTTGTTTAATTTTCGACGATTTCTCATCTAAAACGGATTATAATTTTCGATTAAAAATTATTAAAAAAAAAAAAAAAAAAAAAAAAAAAAAAAAGTAGGTAAAGAATAATTAAAGTTTACTTACTTTGGCAATGATTGGCAACGTCAGGCGGAAAAGCTCTATCAAGTCTCAATAATTTGGGATCTTTGAGCAAACACTAGGGATCACAGCCAATAGCACTCGTTGTTCTTTTGCAAATGTGTCGTATGATCTTCTTCTTCAAAGTCATTATCAACGACAGTGGTTCATCTTCCACAAAAAATATACTGCTTTGCCGTTCAATGGACAGCTGTGGTCCAGCTCTGTTGGATGAGTACTAGTGGACATCTGACAAGAGTGATATGGAGCTTTGAAAGGCAGGATGATTTGTTTAGTCTAGATCGAAACAGAAAAAAAATCTATTGGAGAGGGAATATACTTGATAATCTTAAAGACATCTGAAACGCAGGTAAGTGTTTTGTACTTGAATCCCATTCGTTTGATTATCAAAAGAAAGAAAAAAAAAAAAAAAAAAAGATTTCTAAATTCTTCGACAAATTAAGAGGCGATTTCTTCAAACAAAAACGTTTTATATATTTATGAGGATTTTCAATATTTTACTTTAAAAGCTCGAATTCGTCACTAGTGAATTCCGTACTCCAAAATCAAAACAACTTTAACATGCAGCACTTCTAAATAACACATTAAATAAAGTTTCAGCTTTGTTTTATGATAAAAAGCACTTACATGGACTCATAGTCTTTTATTTCCCAACTAGTTTACGTCCACTAAGTCTTCTGTGGTTTTATTCACCTGCCTGCAATCAAAAGGCTATCGCTATTAGACAGTAATCGCACCCCACCAACAGCGGAAAAAACAGTATCAATTAGTGCCAAACGTCTTAAGATAAACTAATTGAAATCAACTTTTTAATCTAAAATTAATTTTTGCTGACGTTTTTCAGCAGTGCTAGTACCGTTGTAGGCCAATATCACTATGGATACGGCAAGACCATCAACTATAATTGGCTTCAATAACGCGTTTTTGTCATCTGCTTTATCGAAAAACCAAAATAAAATTTTTAATGGCTGACAATGCTTTTGTGCTGCACTTGACGACTGATATATATATTGATACTACTATTTTGCAGAATATCTTAATTTCCGAAATGAATGACTCAACGATTTGCAGTGACGAGTGGCCGCCCACTTTCCTGTCATACGTATCCATGGTAACGTCAATCATCCTCTCAATCGTGACCGTATCAGGAAACCTATTAGTTTGTCTGGCAATATTCAGGGATCCAAATAAGGAAATGAAATCACCTTTTACTCTCTTGATTCTCAATCTGTCGACCGCTGACCTGATCGTGGGTGCAGTCACAGACTCGTTGTCCATCACTTTCCACTACAAAGAATCACAGCATGACATCACTGCGCGTTACCTTGAACGAGTCACACACATGTGTTATTACATCTTCTGCAAGGCGTCACTACTGAGTCTTGCTGGCCTCACACTCGACAGATACGTAGCACTGACGTCATCCAACTGGTACAAGAGTCACGTGACAACCAAAGTAGCTGGGGTTGTGTCCATAGGGATCTGGCTGATCTCCATCACAGCCTCTTGGTTGTACTTGAACTATGGATTTGTTCGATATTCCTTCATATTTGCAAATACTTCTATACTACTCACTGTTATAATCTTAATGTTAGCATATCTAGGAATCATTAGGAAGCTACGCAAACAAGTCTTTGATCTAGAAATGATTCGCGCGCAAAATACAGGCGCGCGCGCAAAATGTCGCACAACGTTATGGGAAAAAAAGCTAACTAAAACTTACCTTGCGATGCTTGTAATTTTCTTAACTTGTTTCCTGCCATCGATGGCTGCCATTTATGCCTTGAATTTTTGTTCTTATTGTATGCGAAATTGTACAACTTACCACATTTTAAGAGATGCCCATTTTCTATTGATCTTGTGTTCTTCTCTCTTCAACCCTATTCTTTATGGATGGAGACTTCCAAACTTCAGGCGTGCCTTTCTAAGCTTGATCAAATGCAAAGATGGGGTTAGAGTAGACGTATCTCCTTATAATGGCAACGTCATCCTACAAAATCAAACAAATATCCACATAGAGTTGGAACTTGCAACCGTTACAGAAAGCAAGCAAGCGTCACACTTTCTTAAATCAAGGACATAAAACTGAAAACAAAGAGTTAAGAAAACAAATAATTTAGCATCGTAAAGATGCTAGATTGTGATGAAGTCATCATTTTTGTTGTTGCCTGACTTAAAACCATGAGAAAGATCCTTGGTCACGGGTCAAAAAGTTTGTAAAAACTGACGAATAAAAGATTTAATTTATCCTTGTTTATTTTTTATAAATAGATTTCGAAAACTCAAGGTTTTCTGGAAAATTTCTTTAGCTTACCGGTGTCGAAGGAGTTTCCTTTTTCGGTCTATCGGTCTGTCGGTTCCAACTCAAAGGCTCAATTATCTCCTAAATTATTACTTCACCACCCCTCCCCTCCCCATAGTATAATAAAGACCATGAAGCTTTGCGCACATTACATTTTATTCAACATGGCTGCCAAACATTGAAGTTCATTGAGAGAATGGTAAAACTTCTACTTATATCATAGTTGCTTTTATTTTAGAAATTAATTGCTTTTTGTGAAATAATTCCAAACCACACTACACATTCAATTTATAGAAAGCTTCCTGTTTACAATCACTACTTATTTTACGTTTAGTTTTTACAATTGAATCATAAAAAGTTTCAAAACTTTGACATTTAGCTAAGCTTTACTAAATCCCTTGAAACTCCTAACGTTTAAACATTTATATTTGTATGAGATTACTTAGCTTGTTAAGATTATTTGTTCGTGTACAAGATTACTTGGTTTTGCATGCATATACATGCGGTTGTTTACATTCATAACTTAGTATTTACTAACCTTAAGTTTTTATTTGCAAGGACAATAATTATTACATAGTGGGCTTATTAGTTTCATAACTTTAAGCTTCTAAGCTTCTTAAAGAGTTTTTCATATTGGTAACACAGTATAGTTGTATGCCCATACAACAGAGCATTCAGCATTTGTATCTAAAGACTCAACTTATTAGTATGGAGGGAAGGGTACAGACATATAGTGTTGATTGTGGCGGTACGTAGATGGTGGTTGTGCCTTGATACTGTACTTCCAGCAGGGTTGGAAGGAGAAGGAATACCAAAACTTTAGCCACTAAATTTTCAATAACACAGGGAGGATAACTGTAATATCTACATATAAAATTAGGATGACATATAAGAACACCTTAAGGCACAGGGAGCCCAAATGCAAGCGCTGGACCTTGACTAGGTTATTTATTGTCAATATTAAAAACAAATTGTATGAATTATCCTTTCCTGTTTCGAGAATCTATGATAATGAGGTTGTTCTTTTGTTTGGTTGCCTTCCAGTGTATTTACACTTTAAATTAAATGCCACCCAGCTAGTTCAGTTGGAAATAGTGCCAGTCTGTTGTGTGGGAGGTTGTTGTTCAAGCCTCAGCTGGATCAAAACTTTGGGTCTTAAAATAACTGAGAAAAAGGTGGTGCTGCGTTTGTAATTACATCTGCAAATGTCTAGATCTTCATGTTGCTTTGGATGACAATTTTAATGGCATTCCCCTTGTTTAATCAACAAGTGGATCATAAGTTTATCAGTTGAATTTATGTCCAGCATCATCCTCTATAAACCAAGTTGATTTATTCATTTTTTATCTTTTATTCTTTGTGAAGTCTAATCTAGTGTTGTTCTTATTTTTATATTTTTCAGCATTCTAATTATTATCCATGGCATTAATACAGGCATCTTCATGTACCTCAAAGTTATTAGTCATTACCATCTTTTGTTTCTGGATAAATGAATCTACTTCTGATCATGAAGACCTCAACTTCCCACCAGAACATCTACCATATCATCTAAGATATAAAAACGAAAGTTATGGGGTATCAGGATTTCAGAATGCTGGTGAATTCTGCTATGATAAAGAATCCTGTGCTGTAAGTTAACATATTAGTCACATATTATATATTCTTGGTTGTAAAAATCAAAAGTATATTTTCCCCAAGCCAGTTGTACAAAGCCCAAATTAGTTACCATATTCTTAGGATAAGCACTATCCAGAATATAAAAGTGCTACATACCTGTACAGTGAATTTATTTATCCATAGGATAAATTCCAGCACTGTGGATAACTTAAGGTGTGCACACCAGGTGCAACATTGCAAGCAATATTGCATGCAAAAGGACTGTTGCAGCATGTCTATAACAATGAAATTTGTTGCATGCAATGTTGCAAATCTGAAGTTGAATGGTGCTCTAGTATTTCAACATTGCACACAACAAATTTCATTGTGTGAACATGGCTTCAGCATTGCTTGCAATAGTTTGAAATTTCAGCCAGTTAGCTTGCACCAAATTTATAACTCCTGCCAAATATCTTAGCATAGCAGGCTGACACTAGTGAAGTTGTGCGACTTCATTTTCAAGTTTGTCTCTCTTTCATTCAAATTTGTTGCTTACAATGTGGCATGCAATGTTGCGTGCAATGCTGCATTGTGTGTCTGCACCTTCAGAGCTTTGTGCAACTGAATCATGCCTTCTGGATAAAGTTTTTCTGCTGGCCTAGTGGGTAGTGCTTGTTTTGGCATTATACTGCCTGATCCAGTAGTACAATATGGAAACTGGTTGCAAAATTCTCAAACCAAAGAGTACATGAATTGCTTTAGAATGTGTCTGTGTATTTGCTATATATATATATATATTTTTTTTCATTTGCAGAAATTAGATTCTAAGAGAAAACCTTGCTGGGGTTATGAGGATGACTGTAAAGAGGAAGATAGATATAGCAATCCAACTTGTACAACACATCATCCAGTATGGTATGTGGCAATACTGTACATTCATTTATTTAATGATTCTTTGGTTACCATTGTGAAATTCTGGTTATAATCCCTGGCCTCAGTTATATTTATTAGAAAGGGATTTTTGAGGGGGAGGTGGGGAAGGGGGC